ACCAGAATTGGTAGGTCTACAACTGGAAACCACTGATTTCCACAGCACAGCACAGACAGCAGGTTCACCTGGTGAAGCCACGAAGAATGTTTTGGTGCTTATATTATCATTCAGCACGACTGGTTTGGTGGTGGGTCAGTGATGGTCTGGGGAAGCAGACACCATGACTACCATTAGGTATTGGGATGAAATCCATGGACCCATCATCAGACTTTACACTAGTGCAGACGGTCTTGGTTCCTCCTGGTGCACAACAGTGCCCGAGTATTCCTTCATCCTCTGATCAGAGCATTGAAGGATCAAGAAATTGATATGACTGACTTGCCCTTACACAGACGTAAATCCAACAAAACACCTCCAGGACATTACTGTATATGAAAGTCCATCCATCACTGCCAGGTTCAGACTGTCCAGGAGCTCAGTGATACCCTGGTCCAGATCTGGAAGGAGATGCCCCAGGACACGATCTGTTGTCTCATTAGGAGCATTCCCTGTCAATGTCAAGGGACGTTGTTTTTCTATGTAACATTGAACCTACAGATATGCAGTGCTTGTTCCCTGCCAGGCTTAATCTAGTGTTAAAAGTATCGGTCTGTTACATCATGTGGTGGCTTACCAGTGTCCTGGAATGAAGGTGGATTGATTCCTTTGAACATTCCAGTCTGCAATGACAGAGAATCAAACAATAAATCTGTCTGAATGTACTATCAGGGAAGGTCCTATGTGCACAGTGATATGTCATAAGCCATAATGACAGTGTGGGGGGCAGATGGCCACAAGGCCACAAGGCACAGTCAACAAACCCGCACAAATTTCCCTCCCCACTCCAGCCTAAGAAACGTATAATAAGGACTACCCATGGAAGGAGAGGGCCAGCTCCCCTGTTCCCACACACCCCACCACAGGGCAGGGAAAGCAGATCCGGGGCTGCCACAACAACATTCTGGAGTATGACCTACGTGAGCACCAATTGACTGTAGTGTTTTCTACACTCACTGGTCAGCACCCACTATCCCCACTGCAAAGGGTAGTTTAGAGTATGCCGATGAGGGGCTTGGAGGGCCACCTGCCTACTGAGTCCTAATATCAGTCACCCACTAAATAAACAAAGGACCAAAAAACAGGAACAAGCTAGCCTGGCCCGAGTTTGACGCATGCTGCTCCCAACGTGCTCAAACTATCCTCTTACTGAGGATTCATTTGGTGGCTGAATTAAAGTTATTTCGGACATTTTTTTTCCACTGATGCATTTTTATTTATTATTGCAGATCAAAATTAAGTAGCTTTGTTTTACATATGTACAGAAATACATTATCACTGTAAAGACCACTAACAATGGTGCTGTAGACTTTAAGATATCATGTTACTGATATATATTCCGTCTTTAACAATTCTACGATGAAAGAAGTGCTATTTCAAAAAAAGACATCCAGATATGTTTACATTTAAAAAAAAAACATATAATGATCTTACCAGAGTTCATTCCTGCTGCCAAAGACAGCTGAACAATAAGCCAAAATCCACTGAGTTTCAACATAGCTGTGACGCTCTGTGAAGTGCAGCTGAAATGAAGTTCACTGTGGATTCAGCAGATAGACGAGCTTCAGGTTATATCTCTGCCCACATTTGGTTAGATAGTAATGTAAATGACAAACCTGCATCTATGCCCATGCAGTTAAACAGTTACTTCACTGTTTAAAGTGTGTGCACCAACATATTCTTTCTGCTCTGACTGTGAATTACTACCATTCATAACTGACTCAATTTCCTAATTGACACATGCAAATGTTGTAAGTGTAGATCCCACTGAGATGTCCCAGCAGACAACTTCACTTTTAAAACGGCAAGTAGATTATTTACAAGGTGCACTGCTGTTAAGAACATCATGTGAGAGATGAAAAAAAGACTCCCACCTCATTAAAATGAGTCAAGATTAAATATTAGAGTCTTTATATTTCAAGAGAGAATCTATTGTAAGAGTTTGACTGTTTTATAAAAAAAAATATCACACATAAAAGTGGAATGAAAACTGTGACATTAGTAATAATCATATCCTAAGTGCACTGAACAACAGCCGATGCTAAGAAAATAAGCTCGAGGTGTTCACAACAACAGTCGCCTCAAGGTGCTTTATATTGTAAGGTAGAGCCTACAGAGAAAAACCCGACAATCATATGACCCCTATGAGCAGCACTTTGGCGACAGTGGGAAGGAAAAACTCAATTTTAACAGGAAGAAACCTCTGGCAGAACCAGGCTCAGGGAGGGGCGGGGCCATCTGCTGTGATTGGTTGTGGTGAGAGAAGGAAGACAGGATAAAGACATAAGAAAATCCACCTGCCAAACTCCTTGTTGACTGCTGGTGACTGCCCCAACAACAAACTTGCCCACTCTTGCTTAAAATATGACTTTAGCTGCTGAAACAAATGGATGAATGGAACCGTAGAATATCCTGTTCAGTCTGAGACAATCTGGGGAGCTGTTTTCAGCAGTTTACCCCTAACTGGATTAGTACTGGATGTGCACTGCTGCACGTTTTCAGTTATTGACAGTTTTTGCAGGGCTGGACTGGGACAAAAATGTATATGTGTATATATTTCATTTTGTATGATTATCATTATTGAAAAAGGTTTTAATCAGGTACAGTTGTTGTTGGGTTAGTTCTTAGTTGCCTGCAACATGTGACAATAATTAAAAGTCACACTTGAGCTATTAGCAGTGACTCGTGATCAAAGCAACCGTTCATTTTAATCCTTGAATCTCTCCCTTCCTGATTACGTCCCTTCATCTGTTTTCTTACCATTTAATTTCACCTTCCTCCATCTCTTCCTTACTTCTCCACAGCTGATGCGAGCAGCGGGTCTGGTTACTAGCTGCTTGTAGCTGTTACAAGCTGTTACTAGTTGTAACTAGTTGTTGCTGGTACTGTTCAAAGGTATGCCAGATTACCAGTCCAGCCCTGGTTTTTGCTCCAATGAACAGAGACAGTTGAAAAGCAAACACTGGAGCCTGTTCAAACCTGAAACTGTCTGAAGCACTGGGCAGCATTGTGGTTCAGTGGTTTTTATAGTTTTCTTTCTGAAGTATCTACCCCGTCACGTCTGAGTTTGGTAACTATGGTTCTCGTTCTCTACCTTGGTTGTTAGTTTCCTGTTGTGCTCTTCCCAGTTGTGTTGTGTGTTTGTCCAATATCTATGTGTTCTGTCTCTATGTCAAGCTCACGTGTCTTTATCTGTGTGCGTATGTGATACTTGCTGTTTTATTGTGACAGTCCCTCATCTCGTGTGTGTCTTCAGTTTTGCGTCCCCTCTCTGCCTGATTCCCTCTTTTGTATATATCGTCTGTTTCTCTGTCATCATCATCTTACCTTCCCTCACACTGTGTGTTCAGTTTGTGTGTAGCTTCCCAGTGAAGAAAATCCTTAGTATCAGCCCAATGTGAAGTGTTTAGTCACTGATTACTAATTGTTTGCCCTTCTTTTCAATTTAACTCAACAGATGCCTTTCCCAGATATCTTAGCAAAAGGTGATAAAGGGAAGAAGAAAACTGACCGTCCTCTTCCCTGAAATGATGTGCTCTCATTTGTGAAGAGAATGGGATGCCATGGCAGACCAGCCAGTTCCAGTATTCTTTGGGGAACGTCAGACGATTTGGCTGGTGCTGGAATGTGAGCACGTCCCGCTACTAAAGGACTGGCAGCGTTTGTTCTGTTCCTCATTGCACAAAGACAGTGGTCCTGAGGCACAGTGCTTACCTTTCTACAGTCCTGTCCTGCTTCCCCTGGTATCTCTACCACAGTCTTTCACAGCGAACGTCAGCTGCACCTAAACTGAAACATAACTCTGCCGTCTGCACAGAGTTTCTGCAGCACCAGCGAAACGTTCAGCGTGACTCTTGGTTTAGTTGCCAGATGTTTTTCATTTTAATTCTGCTTGTTTTTTATAGCTCAATAAAAGCCATTTGAACACAGTTATTTGTTTTTCAAAACAAATTCTTGTAGTTTTCTGTTTTGGTCTGTTTGTTAGCAGAATTAAATGTTCAGGCACAGGAAATGAGTTATCATTGTAAAACAAAATCTCATCAATCCTTTGTTCTTTTTTTGTAGTTTGAAGTGAAAATTTACATAAAGACACAGCAGCAGAAGATTTTTATTACTTTAAAATGTTTTTAACAACAAATATAGCAAAGTGAACAGTACTAATGTTTTTATGGCAGTATTATCATGTTATTACATGAAGTAAAGCCAGTGTTTATTAAGCTCAGGTTTATTAAGCTGTAATTAACAGTATACTGTAATTACAATAACTTTTTTTGCACTTTTTTAAATGATGGTATTAATTATGGAATAAAAGTACCAGATTTTTCACATAAAATGACTTTTTTATTATCCTGTAAAAATATGGACATTTTCTTTATTTTAATTGTGAAAAACTTGATGGTAAATTTCTCTTATTTTATGAATTTTTTTCTGGCGCTCCAGCTGCCAGAGTGTTACCAGCATGCTTGGCAGAGGAAGAACCTGACGCTGTTTAAAGGTTAACATGGATTCTTTGGTGAATATTAAATGTTTTGCTCTTGTAATGGCCTTTGGTGGTCGATCACTCCTAGAAGAGTAACTGTTGCTCTTGACAATTTTGAACGTGGACTTTGTATCTGAACTCTTCAGAGGTGGCTTTGTAACCTTTTCCAGTGTGCAAAGCAACAAGAAATCTTTTCACTGAATTCTTCAGAAATCTTCTTTTTGTAGCACATATCATTCACTGATTAGGTTCTCCTTCTGACTTATAAATTCATTATTTTTTATGTTATTTTTCTGCGAAAATATGGAAAATCTCAAAGGATTCACAAACTTTTGCTATACTTGTCTTAACACCTTCATGTTTGATACTGAGAGGCATTCAGTCTGTTACCACATGGCTGTTTCCAGGTCACTGATAATCCTCCCCAATCTTCTTTTCTCCTCATTAGCCATCTTACCCGCTGCTGCTGCTGCTGCGCTCACAGTGAAGCCTGTGACTTATTCTGAAGAACACTAATTTCACATGCTGTGGCTTGGACCTTATGTTAGTGCTGGGAATACTGGTAAATAGTAATATATGCTTCCACTGTATGTAATACTGGGACATGACAGCTAAATGGATGTTTAGATCAGCAAAGAACTTTGAAATGAAGCTAATAAATGCATCGTCTCAAAGAGCAAACAACTGCGTTTTGATGGTCACATCAGTGTGGTTTGACTGATTCTGCAGCTACACCTGGTTTGTGTATAACGGGGTCTGCAGGTGAAACAACCCGAAGGGAGATTTTTGAGCCGGACGTCAGATCAAGATTCCCCAGCAAAGCATCAGGATAGAAATCAAGAAAAACAGCAAGATTCCTAACAAAAGGTATGTCCACACGTGACACATGTTGACCTCATGCCAGATATGTGTTTATAAAAACACTTTACATGTTGTGTGATATCAGTTCATATGAGCTAATGTAAAAAAATTCATAACTAGAGACGTGTTGTTCAGCTAACATACTGCAACAAGTAACAAAAAAGGAACATCGGTTGGTTGAAGACTTAATCGAACTCACAATGAAGGCTTGTCTTGTTGGATGTCATGTATATACTACTGACATGTACAAAGCAAGGGCAGGAACTGCTTTCTCTTCACTTCTCCGTGTACCATAGCCTGAGACATCCTGCATGTGAACTTCACTCAGAGATGGAGAAAGATAAGCACAACAGACCAGGAGAGGAGGAAGCGCAGTTATATTCAAAGGTAAGGATGCTGTTTGATAAACTGGAAATACAAAGTTTACATGTAAGTGTTTTTAAACCAGATGCTGTGTCTGTACATGGGACAGTGTCTTGAACAAAGGTAACTTTGTGTTATTTAAAAACAGTCATCAGATTAGTGCAGGTTAACTATTAGTTTACTGTACTGTGAAGTTAAAGTACTGAACAGCATGTGACTGGTGCTCATGGTTAGAGTTACATCTAGTGTTTAAAGTTAAGCTGGTGATGCTTCAGTCAGTCATTGAACTTTCTACTGTAGAGCATAGAAATCAGCCAGGACAAAGGCTGCTGAATGCAGTGGTATAAATGCACTCAGAGCAGCACACATCAGCTGATCACAGCCTGCACACTAAAGACATCTCAATAGAAATTATTGTGAGTCCTGCTCATCTGACTCATTTCCCTGTTTAGAGACAAAGTTGTTCTCTACAACAGGACATAGCCATTATTTATTTATTTATTTCCTTCTTTTTCTCTGCTCGTGTTCTACAAGCTAAGTCCACTTATTAGACTTGTTGGTATTCCCCGTGTACTGACATTATTTTGTTACTAGAATAATATTTTAGCCTTCTTACTTTGAGTACTTTTCAGAGCATGTACTTTTTCACTTTTACTTGTGCAAAAAAGTTTAATCTGACCATCCTGCAGCTGGACTAAACATCACAGCTGTCCTACAAACCAGTTTCCTGTCAGGATTTTGCTTTTTTGTTTGTTTTGTGTGTTTACTTATTTCTTCCTGGAAAGATAAAAAATATCACTCATCTAAACGATATGAGATGGAAACCTGTTGGTCATTAGTCAAGTAGTCAAACCCACACCAAGGTGTCCACATATTATTTCTAAAGGCCTTGTTAAAGAGGAGGCCATGCTGTATACACCAGGGGTCTTAAAGTCACAGCCCAGGGCCCACCTGCGGCCTACTCACTCTGATGTGCAGAGATATAATGCAGCCTTAAAGTGACTTTTTTGTTTGTTGTTGAGTGAAATGTTAAAATAAGTTCTTCAAATGATTGAATATGAAGGCAACATGAGCAGAGGCACAAACATGAGAGGGTGTGTTAGTTCACTGACAGACTCACAAACTAATGCGCACACTTATGTCTGCACTTCGGTTTTGTTAAATATGAACACAATGACAGCAGAAGTGCTGCCACGTGTGCACAGGCAGAGAGGACCAATGAGTTTATTTGGTAGTTCAATGAAAGGCTTCAGTTAGTTAAGAGGGAGGAAAATGCAGTTTTATCTTATTATGCAATATTTGATATTTTTAAAAAACAACCACATTTTCAGAAATGTTTTTTTGTTTGTACTACTTGAACACTAACGTGGCCCACAGCGCATTTAGTTTGAGACCCCTGGTACCTGAACCTGGGGCCTGAGGAGGGCCTGTTGCTCGGACGTTGTAATGTGTACGGCCGCCCTGCAGGTGGAGGCCGGGCTTCCTAGATCTGCGAATGGGAGGAGGCATTGTTGTTATAGTAAAAGCTGAACCACGGTCAGCGTTTTCTCCTCGCGTTACTGATCCGCGAGTGTTGGACAGAATATTGGTGGTTTGGGAGCGATGGAAGGAAAACGGGGAGGAAAGGAAACGTAAGCTGACTTTTCTGTCTTTGTGTTGTCGCTCTGTAAGTTTTTCTAAGATAGAGTTATTTAGCACACAAGAAACTGTCGTCATTGCGTCGTTACTCCACGTAAAACGCCCCAGCAGTAATCTGTAAACTCTGCGGGCTGTGCTGGCGGAGCCGTCCGCGTTACAGGGTCGAGCTCATCTTCAGGTTCATGGTTTTTAAATCAGCGACATCTCCACACTGTGGAAACGTCGAGGCGCTGCCTGAGCTGTGACTCTTCATCACAGCAAGAAACAAAGACACAGCTGAACAAACAAAACGCAGCGACGGACCCATGTTCTCCTCATGTCCCTCCTCATGTTCCTCCTCATGTCCCTCCTCATGTTCCTCCTCATAGGTGATATCTCTGATTTCTAAACCTGTAGCTTTGATGCTTAGGCATATAAACATTAACGGAGTTACACAAACTCACCGTTGAAACAACACAAATCAATGCATTTGATTAGAGGACTGTACGGTAACGTGTGTGCATGTGTCTCAGATGGAGTGATGGACAGCAGAGTATGTGAACTTCAATGTAAACGAGGCCAGACTCCATTATTCCTGCTGTGATGGAGATCCCCATCCTGCTGCCACTCGCCCTGGCCTTGCTGGGGTTTCTGTGCCCATGTGTGACAACACTGACTCCCAGAGTCTCCTTCCCCATGGGTGAGTGAAGCCTTTGAAACATCACGTGCATTTTTACCCCCTTTATCATGTTGGGTCATTTAAATGTATTGGGGATAGAACAAAGCACAGCGATGTGTTTGTTCTCTCACGTCTTTCATATACGAAATCGATTCTTGTGCACAAATATTGTGCTGAAACCTCATGAATTTAAAAAAAGGGCAAAATCATGTTAATCAAATTAACTGGGACACAAATGTAGTTGACAGTTATCATGTTAGATGGAGTACTGTGAGATTGTACACTTCAGTGTCTGATTATAATGCAAGTACAGGGCACTGTTTCAGTGCTTGTTTCACATGTAAGTAAAAAAAGAGGTTGAAATTCTGGAAGATGCATAAAAAATAACAGCAATAGTATCCGTGCACAGCCACTTTCAGATCTCTTCAGAGATGTTCGGTCAGGTTCTGGTTGGGCTACCCAAGAACATCGACACAGTGAAGCCGCTCCTTTGTTATCTTGGCTGTGTTTCAGTTCCTCTGGAGCAGGTTATCATCAAGGATGTCTCTGACCCTGACTAGTCCCCTAGTTCCTGATGGCGCATGATGCAGCCCCCACCGTGCTTCACTGTAGGGATGGTAGGTGCTAAGGTGCTAAGCAGTGCCTCCAGCTGAGCAGTGCCTCCAGAGTATCCTCCACATATGGTGCTTGGTATCCAGGCCACAGAGTTAGATCTTTGTCTCATCAGATCAGAGAATTTAGTTTTTCATGGTCTGAAAGTCCTTCAGGTGACTTTTCCACCTGGCCGTACAGGCCTGACTGGTGGAGTGGTGCAGAGATGGTCATTCTGGAAGTTTCTCTTTTCTCCACAAACCAACAGTGGAGTTCTGTCAGAGTGACTTTGAACTTCTTGATCATCTGCCTTACAACGGCCCTTTGACTCCAAGCGCTGGTTCCAAACTTCTTCCTGAGGCCTCTGTGCTTATTGGGACCTTCAATGCTGCAGAAATGTTTCCTCTCCCCAGATCTGTGTCTTGGTTTAATCCTGTCTCCGAGGTCGGCACACAGTTGGTTGGACTTCACGGCTTGGTTTGTGCTCTGTGACATGCACTGTCAATTATGGGGCCTTAGACAGGTGTGGCATCCAATCAGCTGTATTTATCACCAGTCACGTGACACTTCACAGATTATCAGTGGAAACAGAATTGAGCTGACCTCAAGTTTGAGTGTCGTAGCAAAGGCTGTGAACACGTATGTACGTTATATTTTTTTACATTTCAACCTTGTTTCACTTTGTCATTATGGACTATTGTGTTTAAGCTTTGAGGTAAAATGAATCAGGTTATAATGAAATGTGGATTCTTTCTGTGTGCACTGTGAATTGTGTGTTTAGTGTTGAATAAGTGACTAGATAGCGTGGTCACAATATTTTCTGTGACATAATAAACGTGGAAGAGATGTTTCGCAGACACCGAGTTCTTCGACATCTAAGCAGTTAACACTCTGTAGCCGGTTATATCTGGATCCTGTGGATATTTAATCCTAACATGCTTTGTCCTGATACAAACTGCTGTTTGATAACAGATAGTCCTGGGAGACGTCTCATCCGCTTCAACAGCCACGATGTCAGCAACACCACCACGCTGCTGCTCAGTGAGGATGGGGACATATTATATGTTGGAGCCCGGGACTCTGTGTTAGCACTGAATGTTAGCCACAAGGACAGCATCATACTGAGGAACAAGGTAGAGGCTGACTGTTGACAGATGCACACTTATGCATATTGACATAAAGTCACTTGAGATTATGCAAATGCAGATCAGATGGTCTCTGTTAGGAATTAGACTGTGAGGCTCTAAACAGGCGTCCATGTGACTACCAATTGTTTATGACGGCCCGACTGCAGAGACAGTGAAACAACCATGTCTGTGCCCTGCTGGTGGACTTCAAAGAAGCCTAACAGGAAGGACTACTTGGCTGTGAAGTCTTCAGCTTCCTGTGTCTGCGACACAGTACAATCACTGCTTCACCATCACCTGTACTTTTTTAAATTTAAAGAACTCAAAAGAAAAACAGCAAATTTTTTATTAAACTATTCTAAAGTATTTTTGCAAAACATTGCAGGCAGAGTCTCTGTTGCCAAGTTAAAATATATTGAAATATTTATTGTGTTTAAAGCATGAAATACTGGCTCAAAGATAGACGAGGAACCTGGCGCTTCATCCTTGTAGCCTGCACACCACAGCCTGCTTCTATTTTCATTCATTTTTTTTCACACTTGACGTTCAGACAGTAGTTTGAGAATTAGATCAGGACCTTTTCCACGTCTCCTTTCTCGTGTACTTCTATGTTAGCTAATCTTGCCACATCTTGGCACAATCTGATAATCCAGTCTGTGGACTAGGGAGTATGTCCAGTATGACTAGTTTGACGTTTGTGTACTCGTATGTACCTCACACATTCAGTGTCACAGTTTGCAATAATCACACAGTAAAAAAGTGAAAGCATTTTTAACTGTTCCTGTTTGATGTGCTATTTAAGTCAGGAGACCACAATGCAGAAAACAGTATTTTATGTAGAAGCAGGCAGCTTTTTAAAATCGCTAAATGAATTTCTAAAGGTCCTTCTAAACATTCGGACAAACACAAACTGGGTTAAATCCTTTGTGACTGTAAAACTTGTAGTGCCTGCTTTTGGTGTGTTTAAAAAAAAATGCAGTCTCGAAAAGAAATGTGTTCTGGCCCGTGCTGTGATCTTTCACATCACGATCTTTACACAAACCTGCGGCTGTGGTTAATGTGAAGAACTTGATGAACTCTCCTCTTCTCTCAGCTGGACTGGAGTCCTTCACATGAAGACCTTGAGCAGTGCTCCATGAAGGGAAAGAAAATGGTAAGTGTTCTGTTTGAATGTATGAACAAATGCTTTGAACCTGTTAAATTACAAATATACAAACCAAACGAGACAAAGGTGCCAATAATGTACCAGCCCATATGGAAAAGATATATATATAGATATAGATATATATAAGATATATATAAATCTTATAAAGTTTTTATCTGTCTTGTATGAAACTTGTATGAAAAGCATACAAGAGTGAAAACACATATAAGGTCCCTTGAAGAATTATATAATGAAACTTGTATGTTTTGTATACTTACTAAAAAAAATATATGAAAGTACTGAGAAAGTGGCCACTTTCATGAGTAAATCATATGTTTTTACTATTTCTTTTCCATATGGGAGCTGGCAGTTACAGTCCCTTTTGATGTAACATGAGAATGTTTGAAGTTGAACCAACAGGTCCTGGTTTAGACAAACCGTTAACAGTTTTACATGAGCTGGTTTTGTTGAAATGTTAAACTTTGTGTTTCCAGGCTGATTGTCCCAATTTCATACGTGTGCTGCAGTTCCTGAACACCAGCCACATCTATGCCTGTGGAACGTTCGCCTTCAGTCCACGCTGCACCTACATCGTAAGGCATTTAAGTTGTTAGTTTGTTTAACACTGTGACAGTGTTACAGTGTTACTCACTGTTTAGTGATTGTAGCATAAACTTGATACAAAAAAGCTTGAATTTCCCTTTTTGTGTGTTTGTAGAAATGGTCCATTTAGCATTCACTTCAGTAGCAGCTTGACTTTTTCTCTTTGTCTTCCCAGAACACTGACACATTAACAATGAGCCTCAAGCCTGATGAAGGGAGAGGTCGATGCCCCTATGACCCTTATCAACGCAATACGGCTCTCGTTGTAGGTGAGGAAATGATGCCACAGCATGACTGGATTATTACAACTCTATTTTGGTGTCTCCCAGTGATCCCTGTCCTGTCCCTGTCCCAATCATCCCTGTCCCAATCCCTGTCCCAATTATCCCTGTCCCATATCCCTGTCCCAGTTATCCCTGTCCCAGTTATCCCTGTCCCATCCGTCCTATCCCTGTCCCAATTCCGTCTGTCCCTGTCCAACATCCTGTCCTTTCCCTGTCCCAGACATCCCTGTCCTGTCCCTGTGTCCCATATCCCGGTATGTCCTGTCCCTGTCCCAGTCATCGCCCTGATGCACTGTGTCCCAAATCCTCCTGGTCCGTCCCAATCATTCCCTGTCCATGTCCCTGTCCCACACATCCCTGTCCTGTTCCCTGTCCCATATCTGTCTGTCCCTGTCCCAGTCACGTCCTCCCTGTCCCAGTCATCCCTGTCCCATATCCCTGTCCCATATCCGTCCTGTCATCCCTCCGTACTCCAGACTGTCCCAAGTTACTCCCTGTCCCCTGTATCGCCTGTCCGTAGCATCCCTGTCCTTTTCCCTGTCCCAGATCATCCCTGTCCCAATCATCCCTGTCCTGTCCCTGTCCCAGTAATCCCTGTCCTGTCCCTGTCCCAGTTTGTGCAATGAGGAACAGAACAAACGCTGCCAGTCCTTTAGTAGCGGGACGTGCTCACATTCCAGCACCAGCCAAATCGTCTGACGTTCCCCAAAGAATACTGGAACTGGCTGGTCTGCCATGGCATCCCATTCTCTTCACAAATGAGAGCACATCATTTCAGGGAAGAGGACGGTCAGTTTTCTTCTTCCCTTTATCACCTTTTGCTAAGATATCTGGGAAAGGCATCTGTTGAGTTAAATGAAAAGAAGGGCAAACAATTAGTAATCAGTGACTAAACACTTCACATTGGGCTGATACTAAGGATTTTCTTCACTGGGAAGCTACACACAAACTGAACACACAGTGTGAGGGAAGGTAAGATGATGATGACAGAGAAACAGACGATATATACAAAAGAGGGAATCAGGCAGAGAGGGGACGCAAAACTGAAGACACACACGAGATGAGGGACTGTCACAATAAAACAGCAAGTATCACATACGCACACAGATAAAGACACGTGAGCTTGACATAGAGACAGAACACATAGATATTGGACAAACACACAACACAACTGGGAAGAGCACAACAGGAAACTAACAACCAAGGTAGAGAACTGTCCCAATTGTCCCTGTCCCAGTCATCCCTGTCCTGTCCCTCAGTCAATCCCTGTCCTGTCCCTGTCCCAGTTATCCCTGTCCTATCCCTGTCCCAGTTCATCCCTGTCCTGTCCCTGTCCCAATCATCCCTGTCCTGTCCCTGTCCCAACACCAAGGTAGAGAACGAGAACCATAGTTACCAAACTCAGACGTGACGGGGTAGATACTTCAGAAAGAAAACTAAAAACCACTGAACCACAATGCTGCCCAGTGCTTCAGACAGTTTCAGGTTTGAACAGGCTCCAGTGTTTGCTTTTCAACTGTCTCTGTTCATTGGAGCAAAAACCAGGGCTGGACTGGTAATCTGGCATACCTTTGAACAGTACCAGCAACAACTAGTTACAACTAGTAACAGCTTGTAACAGCTACAAGCAGCTAGTAACCAGACCCGCTGCTTGCATCAGCTGTGGAGAAGTAAGGAAGAGATGGAGGAAGGTGAAATTAAATGGTAAGAAAACAGATGAAGGGACGTAATCAGGAAGGGAGAGATTCAAGGATTAAAATGAACGGTTGCTTTGATCACGAGTCACTGCTAATAGCTCAAGTGTGACTTTTAATTATTGTCACATGTTCCAACAGTATCCCTGTCCCAGTCATCCCTGTCCTGTCCCTGTCCCAGTTATCCCTGTCCCAGTTATCCCTGTCCTGTCCCTGTCCCAGTTATCCCTGTCCCAGTTATCCCTGTCCTGTCCCTGTCCCAGTTATCCCTGTCCCAGTTATCCCTGTCCTGTCTCTGGCTGGTGGAAAATGCAGGATTGCACAGCTGCAGGATTTATTGGGGAATTCACAGCATGAAGCACTTGTGATGAATTCAAACACGAGCAGTTTTGAAGTTAACCTGGGTAGTAATGGTTCTTGCAGAGCTTATTACCTTCAGGCTGCAGCTGTGCAGTGTTTGCTGTGACCACCTTTATCCTTCATCAGAGCCTGAACTCGGTTCAACACAGTATGAACTTTGTTACGTTTCTTGTTATTTCTTTAATCGCTCTCAGGAATAGTTGTCCATGTTCTTGGAGGACATTTCAAACTTCTTATTTGAATGTTACCCCAACCTGTAAATGCCTTTTTTTCGATTAGTGAAGGCTAATCCACGATGATGGGTGTGCTTTTACTGCATTATCAGCCGGTTTGGGATCTTTGTGTTGCTGAACATGAAGCCATTACCAATCACAATCTTTCCATTAGTAGATTTTTGATCATTGTTTTAAAGATAAAAGGCCTTATTTCATCTTTTACCTTGAAGAAGGTCGGAGGTCCAAAGTAAGGTGATATTTAGAATGTGCATGTCTCAGTACAATGGCAGTAAGAAACACTGCTTTAAATGGCTTCATATATCATCATTATCACTTTGACCTGCAGATCAGTCTGTTGACCTTGAGGAGGTCAGAGGTCAAATGTGACATGACATTTTAAATCTTTATCAAATACTTTCTGCATGTTGATTGCGCACGCCACACATGCAAGTTATAGCGCGACCAATAAATCAGCTTGGTGAACGTAAGCCGGGGGATTATTGACATGATTCTACTGTGTAAAGTGGAATCACGTTGAGTCCACTGAGAACTTTCATCGTGTTTACAGACAGTGTGTATGCACACAACCATGCTGCCAGCAGTGTGTATGCACACAAACATGCTGCCAGCAGTGTGTATGCACACAACCATGCTGCCAGCAGTGTGTATGCACACAAACATGCTGCCAGCAGTGTGTATGCACACAACACATGCTGCCAGCAGTGTGTATGCACACAAACATGCTGCCAGCAGTGTGTATGCACACAAACATGCTGCCAGCAGTGTGTATGCACACAACACATGCTGCCAGCAGTGTGTATGCACACAACATGCTGCCAGCAGTGTGTATGCACACAAACATGCTGCCAGCAGTGTGTATGCACACAAACATGCTGCCAGCAGTGTGTATGCACACAAACATGCTGCCAGCAGTGTGTATGCACACAAACATGCTGCCAACAGCCACAAAGATGGTCGAATATATTTTCATTGTGTCGCTGTTGCTCGTCAGTATGATGTTAGATGTTGTCATGTGTCTCAGATGGAGAGCTTTATACTGGCACTGTGGCAGACTACAGGGGGAACCGGCCCGTCATCTCAAGGCACCTCAGCGAGGGCAAGCGTGTCGACCTGAAGCTGGATGACACATTAGGATGGTTGGAGGGTGAGTGCAGCGAGTTCTTCCCCAACCTCAGATATTTGAATTTCTTTAATATTAGATACGTTTATGGCGTCTTAGATCAGTATCAATCCATTTGTTTGCTGGCACATCTTGTCTGTTACCTGTTATGTGGTGGGAATCACAAACATTGTAATAAGTGTTTCTTATTTCTGTTTAATTCTTGAAAATGTACTTGGATTTCCAGCTTTACCATGTCTTTCACACATTGTTTCCAGTAACTTACATTTCTGCTTATGTTACCTTCTGTTTGCCATAGATCCAACTTTCATCAGTTCCACATTTATTCCAGATGAAGAGAAAATTTATTTCTTCTTCACTGAAGTGGGCAGAGAGTATGACTTCATCGACAAGTTCATCGTCTCCCGCGTCTCTCAGATCTGTGTGGTAAGTGGGAACGATGGTGTCTACGAACTGTCCAAAGAGATTCTGCAAAGATTCAGCAGTGCTCTGATATTTGGAATTTTCTCCCAGGAACAAACAAACTTCACGAACAGACCCAACCTGTCACGCAAAGACTAATAGTCCTCATTTAGACACAGGAAACAGACAGCCAGTCACATGTGTGTCCAAGGCTACAGATGCAGTTATAGCATAACAAACCTTAAAATGCACTGAATGTTATGTGTTTATGAAATACAATGGGTGAATGTGCCTGCAAAGCCCTTTTAGTGGTCAGTAAGGCTGAATGTCACCATCACAGGCTGTAATAACAACTTTGTCTCAACATGAACTGGAGTGATGTCAGTATTTAAGAAATCCCCCTGTAAGGTAACTTCTTAGTGCGTCTGACGGTGCAGGGGAACTTAGTCAGCAAGGTGAAGCTGAATTTGTGACTCCACCCACATGACTGGATGACATCTCCAAGATTTCTACCTGTCAGGATTGTTATTCATAATTCTGTCAAAGGGCTGTAACTCTGACCTTTCTGTAATATTATGCACATGATAACATCACAGTGTTCTCTCATTTGTCAGAGTGATGTTGGAGGTCAGCGGACCCTGCAGCGACGCTGGACCACGTTTGCAAAAGCTCAGCTGCTTTGCCAAGCTGACCATGAGCTGCCCTATAATGTGCTCCAGGACATAGACACCCTCCTGCCTGCAGAGGGCGCTCCTGTGGATGACATACTCTTTTATGGCATATTCACCTCTCAGTGGTGAGTGATGATGTCTCCTGAAAAAAATCACCATGTTTCCATTAATACAAACTTGCTGTTGAGATTGAGAAGCACAGTTTTCAGATCTTTGACCTACTGTGTAGGTGAAGCATGCGTAGATTTGATCTTTGGGGCATTTAGAAAACTGCAGTGATGTATCCATGCCATCTGACCGGGGAAGCATTCAAATCTGAGGGATGTGCTCTTCTGTACCAGTCAAGGAAGGCTCTCGTCATGCTCACGAGTCCTCCAGGCAGTCTTTCTGTGGCCTTCAGGGGCGAATTGAGGGTTGATATAACCAGGGCTGCACATAAGTGGTCCGCAGGTGTCAAAATAAAAGACGCGCACCAGATAAGAAGTTGCAACGCACGTAAGATTTTCTGGAGGAGGACAGACATTTGTTTGGAACTCTTAAAGATGTCGAAGAAGCTCCTTTAAGCAGTTACTTTGGTCTTCCTCCACCTCCAAAGAATAGCAGAAGGAGTCCGAACCACAAAAGAAGCGCGTATCCTCGGAAAAGTGGTTGCAGGAGGTGAGCTGGCTTCAAACAAATGATGAACGCACAGAGATGTGGTGCAGAATGTGCCGTGAAAATCCCACTCTAGCAGACAAAAACAGCCTTTATATGGACGCAAACGCGCGTTGCAACTTCTTATCTGGTGCGAAATACTATTTAAAGGACGCACATTTAAGAATGAAACAAGTTGCTTGCCGTAGTTCCATGTTTCTGATTCTTCGTGACTGTATTCTTAATGTTTGTTTTTGATTAACCAGGTCTGTCAACTCTGGGCGATCAGCAGTGTGTTCCTTCCGCCTCACTGACATCAAATCGGTCTTTTCTGGTAACTACAAAGTCCTGAACCGGGACACATTACAGTGGAGTGCACGGGTTCAAGAGAAGGTCGCAAATCCAGGCGAGGTAAATGGTTACTTATGAAAACTTATTTAGAGTAAAGTCTCCATGAACCAGCGGGTGTACGTGCACACACGCTGCCTTCATGTGCAAAAACTAATTACATATTCACAGCTGTGAGAAACTTTAATTCTCAGATGTAAAAGTTTCACGATTATTTGTCGTCTTCTTCCACGTCATTACTGCCGTCTGGTCCTTCCTGCTTTCTCACTACTTTACTTCCTACTTCTGCTCTTGGTACCAAGTTCACACTTTCACAGTTAGCTTAGCATTCTTTATACAGATGTGGATAAAATTATTAGCATGAAATTTCAAGTTTTTGTCAAAATTTTGACAAAACAGAACAAAGGATTTCCAACATAGCATTTCTAAGCATGCTAGTTTCCTTTAGAAAGCATAAATGATATATATTTACTCACAATAATAGAATTATCTGAGAAAGTGTTTTTTCCAGGGTCAGTATAAATTATCCCCTGAATAAGAAACCAGGTTGTGCAATGATGTGCTTTAACTTTTTAAAGCTGAAAGCTTATAAAATTAAGTTAAAACTGAGGTTCCAGTGTCTCGTGTGTCACAGAGAAAGCAGCAGCCGAAAACCAAATCAAATCTGTTTACATGAGAAAAATGATTTTTGATGCTCACAAAGCAGGAGATGGATACTCAAAGTTATCGCAGCGTTTCCGAGTTGTTCTACTGAGATGTATCATCGAGAAATGTAATGAGAGCCGAACAGGACAGAACAACTGTTGCAGAAGTGAAAGATTTTAAGAAAACGCTGCCACAACACGAGTGAATGACTTGGCCGAGTTGGGAATCGGCGTCTCAAAGAAGATGATCACTTGACTCCTGCACAGGAACTTACGACCTCAAACCAGACTCAGCCTGGAGCAGGATTAGGGGAAGTGCGTGCTTTGGTCAGATGACATTAAACTACAGCTCTTTGAGATGCTTCTTATTTTTGGATTTATGAAGAAGAAGGATATGTGACCATTTTAAACCTCAAGCACTCGGCAGCAGAAACTGGGTCATCGTTTGTCTTCCAACATGACAACAACTAAAACGTACGTCTCTCCTGGTGAACGTTATCGACTGACCTGCACAAAGCTCCGACTCGGATCTCGCTGAAAGTCTGTGGGTGAACTGAAGAGAAGAGTCCATGTCATCAAACCTGGAGGAGCTACAACAAACGACTGCAGCCTGATATACAGCAAAAAGTGAAGAATAGCATCGGGGAGCTAATAATGTTAACCTCAGTATTTATTGGTTTTTTGGAAAGAAAAAAAAAGTTTGGATGAAGTTATTTGGAAAGTTGTGTCAAAATTCCTTTCTCTGTTTAGTAACACCGGGGAAATTCAGTTCACCAAAGTAAATGATATTTTTTTGATAACGACTGTGTTGAGTCTGTTCCTTCCCATCCCCTACAAGGCCACCTGGGTTGGCTGGAAGACTGTTTACTTAGCCTGGCAGGGCGAAGGACACTGTCTCAGCTGAACTATGGACACGCACACACAGACATATACTGATACTGATAAGCACTCACCGACGCATCACCCTCCCTACCCCGGATCCAACGCCACCTCCAACGCTTACCTCCCCTCTGATGTGGACATCGGGTCAGCTGGAGGCGCAGTCGAAAGATTGCAGCGGTCCCAGATCAGATGTCCACACTGGAACTCTTTCCCATGTTGCTGTCTGTGTTTATTGTGCTGTGGTGTGTTGATATCTGTGCATTCCTGTATTATCCTTCTGTGTTACACATTTCGATGTTTTTTTCCTGCTACCTGGCCTGACCTGTCTCCCCCCAATGTGATGATTGTATTGTATGTACGGTCGGCAAGGTCTGTCATCTCGGTTGTGGGCAAAAGACCTGCAACTGACAAATAAAGGCTATCTCATCTCATCATCTCTCATCTCACCCAGATTTTAACATATTTCCTTTTCCATACTTTCATATTTCAACACACCCACTAATGTGTTCAGAATATTGTAAACCTATTAACACTGTAGTCTTTATTATAAATGTTTTCTTAAAAATTCTTTAAATGCTCTACTTCACATTTCAAAGCGCTGTTCAGATTTGAAACATGTAACTATAGGCAACATAACAGTCGGCAGGATGAAGTGGACGAGACCCACAGGCTGAGGTGTAACCTAAATACGTTCCAGCGTTGAGTGAGTGAGCAGGGAGCAGTTTCGCTGATGGCACGCTCTCTGCTGCTCATAATGTGCGATTAAAAAAGTGCCGCACAAATGGAAATGAATACAAAACTAATTAGTTTGTGTCCACTTTTGTGTTAGTGTGGCCTGCACAACGCCTCAGACAATGCCCTGCGCTTTGTCAAAGAGAACTTCCTGGCAGATGACAGTGTGCGAGCAGTTGGAAGGAACCTGACCATGGTGTCTGCTGAAAACACCTACAGCCACCTGACTGTCCAGAGGGTCCAGGCAGCCAACGGCAAACACTACACTGTCCTGTTTCTGCTTACAGGTAGGACTGCAGGCAGAGCAGTAAAATACACAACTAACACATTTCAAAGGCTGAACTCTTCCACGACTACCAGGCTGACACCTCACAGTACAGGTTATATCCTCTCAGCACTTCTTCTTGAATAGTTTTATGTTATTAATGATTTCTTTTCTGTTTCAGAGTCTGGTTACTTGCATAAAGCAGTGCTGCTACTCAGAGGGGCCCATATCATCGAGGAGATTCAGGTCTTTGAGCAGCCTCAGCCTGTCAGGAGCCTGAAGCTCTCCATACCCAAGGTGCACACTGCTGCTGACCTTTGGTGGTTCAGTTCCATTTAGGTTTTTAGACTATTGGAGGCAATGGAGACAAAGACGTGGCAATGACCATAGAGAGTTCCTGTGTGTGTTAATTATTTATGTATTATTATTTAGCTCCAAGCTACACTGCTAAATAAAGTAAAGGAACACGTAGGAAACACATCTCAAGGTCACGCTGGACGTTCATACTGATATGGACCGACGGACACATCAGGGACAAAAGGATGTCACATTGTTGGATGCAAATGAATTCAAAGACACACTGAAAGATCAAAATGAAACTAATGATATGGCAGACTGGTCCATTTTGCCCAGATTCCATTGCAGCAACTCAAAGTAGTGCTCAGTCCTTTGTATGTTCCCCACGTGCCTTCTATACCTGACAGCATCAGGGGAATCTCCCAGTGAGACAGCAGATAGCGTCGTGGGGAATCACCTCTCTGAGCTCAGGGACAGTCTGAGGTGCAAACTGGCAGCATCGAATGGGACGTGACATAATGTCCCAGAGGTTTACCGTGCACTCGGTTCAGTTATCTATTATTTTTATGAACACGCTGGAGTCCTTAACTGATCAATTTGCAAGTCTGGGTAAAAAGTAGACTGGATCTCTGTGTTGTTCCAGATGTTCTGCAGGTAAACCGTTTGAACTCAGTTTTGCAAACTAGATAAAGTTTCTCCATCACAGTGAAGCAGGATGATGTCATTGCGACAGAGTACTATACAGACATGTCTGAAGGCTTATTCTGTCCCACTGCAGGGAGTGATTTATATCGGCACGTCGGAGAGCGTCGTGAAGGTCCCGACAGCTAACTGTTCTTTTTACTGGACCTGTGCTCAGTGTGTTCTGGCCCGAGATCCCTTCTGTGGTTGGGATCCTGCCAGTAGGGTCTGTGTGATGGTCTCTACAACAAACGCTAACCTGTGAGTAACACTACATTTTTATTATGATTAATACGTTCAGCACACACGATCTGCTCACGTTTTTATTATGAAACACAAGGTTGCACAATGAAACTACATCAGCTGAGGAAGGAGTCGGTAATACCAAACTGTGCAAAGCTAGTCAACTTTTATTCTTGACCTTGTAGCTTTTGAGCCGGTAGCACAGCTTTGTTTAAATGAATCATTTACAGGCGCGACCACACATCTGGATACTCCAGGTGGGATTATACAACATCCATGTAGGAATTTCCTCCCTCTCGGTCAATGTTTAATGGTCTTGTTCTTATTCAATTCAATTCAGTTTTATTTATATATCGCCAAATCACAACAAAAGTCGCCTCAAGGCGCTTCATAGATACAGAGAAAAACCCAACAATCATATGACCCCCTATGAGCAGCACTTTGGCGACAGTGGGAAGGAAAAACTCCCTTTTAACAGGAAGAAACCTCCGGCAGAACCAGGCTCAGGGAGGGGCGGGGCCATCTGCTGTGATTGGTTGGGGTGAGAGAAGGAAGACAGGATAAAAGACATGCTGTGGAAGAGAGACAGAGGTTAATAACAGATATGATTCAATGCAGAGAGGTCTGTTAATACATAGTGAGTGAGAAAGGTGACTGGAAAGGAAAAACTCAATGCATCATGGGAATCCCCGGCAGCCTACATCTATTGCAGCATAACTAAGGGAGGATTCAGGGTCACCTGGTCCAGCCCTAACTATATGCTTTAGCAAAAAGGAAAGTTTGAAGCCTGATCTTGAAAGTAGAGATAGTGTCTGTCTCCTGAATCCAAACTGGAAGCTGGTTCCACAGAAGAGGGGCCTGAAAACTGAAGGCTCTGCCTCCCATTCTACTTTTAAATACTCTAGGAACAACAAGTACTTATCTACTTGGCACCTTTCTATTCTTCCTGAGCACTCAAAGCGCTCCGTGCAACTTGCCTCACTTTTTCCTCTGTGAAAGTGTGTTGTAACATTCACACACATCATACTTGGGTTTGTACCTTGCCCAAGGATATTTGGCAGATTGAAGCAGCCAGGGATCAAACCACCAACCTTCCAATTAATAGATGACTGCTTTGTGAATTTCATGTTTTTACTTCTGGTTTGAGGATTGGTCATCAGTGGGGAATCTGTGAAACCTAGTGCCCACCTTCTCTGTTAATGGTTTCCCTCCTCAGAGGCCAGGACATAGAAAGAGGAAACGCTGAAGAGGCATGCAGCAGTGTTTCATTAAATCACAAGAGCAGATTTGGTCCAAACAAACTGCCTGCGGGTGAGTATAACATCTTTTTAATATCTATTTTAGTCTGAAGATTAAATGGAGGAGAAAAGTCTAAAAGGAATGAAATAAATCATGAAAAGTCACACGTCTGAGGTTTTGTGTGGGCTGTGAGTCAAACATATAAAACATGAATTTGCTTTATTTAACTTTTACTTTTCTAATTTAGACATGATTGTGTGAAGTTCAGATTTTTCCAATAGATTCTTGTTTAGAAGCACGGTCATTGTTCTTAGTTTCTGTGATATCCAAACACCTGTTTCTGATGCAAACTATAATCTGTATGTCAGCCTCGTGTCCTCCAGGCGAGCTGGTGTCTGTGTCTCTGAACGAAGTCGTGCGGCTGCAGTGTCCAGCAGCATCACGACTGTCTCAGCAGCTCTGGGAGCGTCCCAACAGTCGGCTGTCCTCAGACTTGTATCTGAACTTGGAGGATGGGAGTCTGAGCTTTGTGGCCACCCCTGCCACACTGGGCCACTACCTCTGCCTGTCCACTGAAAATGGCTACCAACAGACTATGGCCATCTATCATGTCAAGCAGAAGACCAGCCCTCTGTCTCAAACTCCAACCAGCTACACCCAGCCTCGGACAAATGCGATACCCACAACACAATCTATGGCCAAGCCGGGATCTGGACTCCACATATCTGTAGGAACAGAAACGCACCAAGGAGAGTCTAAGACAACGCCATCCAACAGGAACACTCAAGTCACCACCAGACAGCTGGGCAAAAACCTGACCTCATGGACAAAGCAGCCTCGACAGAGAGAATTAGAGCTCCGGGATGGGGAAGCGCTGCTGGCCGCCCAAGCCCCATGCTATTTAAAGGAGCTGGTAATTGTGTCACTTTTGCTAGTGCTGTCCCTCAGTTTGTTAATCACCATATTTCTGTTTGTCATCACACAGCGCTGCAACCACAGAACAGCCCCACAAGCAGCAACCATAGACTCTGACAGAAGGACCCCTGTAGAGCAGGAGGCCCGAAGGGCGAATGTGTTTCTGAGCAAAAGGAATGAACAAGGACAGCAAAGTGGACATGGCAGCGAGTTGGTTTGTAACGCTGCGCTTTCAGGTTCTAATGGACATTTGCCTAACACCCCCATCTAAACAGAGGTACAGTGTTACAGATGAAAAAAGTCACGTGGCACTCAAAGACTCCTGATCTATGGGAAGTCTTTGGCAACAGGAGGAAAAGGTTTTTAAAACTTTATTTGAAGGGCGAGGAAGTAACGCAAAGCATTTTAAAGTGGTTTTCATGGGATTTGACTTATTATTCTATACATGCAGTTTTAATGTCCTGGTGTACATTGAAATTACAGCTCAGTTTAGGTCACAAATAAGGTCCCATATGCAACTGAAAGTGGCTGCTGAGGGTGGCCATCCTAATCGGTAAGATCTGTGATCGTACTAATAAATCAAAGAACTGTGCGTGGGATCACTTTTCTCAACAGCCATTTACTGGCAGCATTTGTGAGTATTGTTGTGGTGGAATAAGAGGCGTGGGGACATGAATGTCTCACAAATATAAAGCTTCAACCGTTACACCTAAGTGCCAGACCCTTCCTCGAACCCTCAAACAGGCCTTTGAAGGGTTGTGAAAAATGTCTTCCACAGTGTCATTGCTGTGATCTCAAATAGCCGGACAACAACACACAACAAGACTGTAAAATTACACAATTGTGCCTGTTCTGCACAGCTACATTTGGAACAGGCGCAATTGCTGTATAACCGTGTGTGTTGTAACTGCCCAGTCTTTTTCACAGCTCGAACTGGTGTATTGATGGAGATCAAACATTTGTCACACTTGGTACTGGACCCGCTGAGGTCCCAGTTCTGATAACTGACTTGTCTGTAACACTTTCACGGCTGATTGCCTGAAGCTGACACGCTTTTGTGTGGAAATAACTGGAATAAAGTTTGCACACGATTCTAAAAAGACGGATTTAGCAGCTGTTTCTGGCAGCCGTAGCTTTGGTGCTCAGTAATTGTGTTCTCCTAAACTGTAACATTTAGGTATTTGTAAGGAGTGGTGACAAAAACCTGGTTAAAATCTCTCTGAACAGGAGCACTGATCCAATGAAAAGCATAACTGTTGATTAGCTGTGACGTGTTGGTTCTGAATGTTCTGGTTGGTCGTCATATTATAGCTGGTTATGTTCTGACTATTCTGTTCTCTCTTGATAGCTTCATTTGGTAAAAGGTACAGTTCTGTCCAATGCAGCTGCTTCTTTAAATATTTTTATAGATTAGTCAAATGCAACACCAGTAACTGCCACAGTCGGCCAGTTGTACAGTTGTATGCACCTTTTAGAACAAGAAATCATTTGTTTCCATATATTACATTTTGATCAAAATGTGTAAGGATCAGAAAATGTATCCAAAGACGTGCGTGCGCATGTGTGCGTGCGTGTGCGTGTTCACATAACTTTGTAGCACATGGTCAGGGTGAGTCAGCCAAGTTTCTTTTCTTGTGTGACAAAACAAAGTGAATGTGCCTTTGCTACATGTTATGTGACGATCCTGTGGAGCTGTTTGTACTTCTCACCATTTGGACACGTCAATAAAAAAATCATCCACAACTGTAATAAAGACTCAACATATTTATATTCACTTCAATAAACAGGTTTCTGAAATGTTACAAAATATATAAAAAACCATCACATTTATTTTTATGTCTTCTCAATTTTTTAACGACTTGGAAATCCGTCTGCTCTGCCATCGTTCAAGTCCTCTCAGGACGCTTTTGTACAGCACTCAATGAACTTCTGTTAAAACCTAAGTAAACTACACAATTCACTAATAAAACCACCTTTCGCAGCATTAACTTGAACTTGAAGTCTTTCACGTTGCTGTGGAGGAATTTTGTCCCAGTGCTTTACAGGGTTCCTTCGGTTCATTCATCCATAGTGTCTTTAAGGTCCTGCCACAGCATGTCATTCAGATTGGTTTGCTTGTATATTTACTGTTGTGCTTGGGATCATTGTCCTGCTGCGTGATCCAATTTAGGCAAAGCTTTAGCTTCTCAGAAAGATGGACTCACATTTGTTTTAGAATGCTTTAGTATATAGAGAAGGTGCCCAGGTCCTTTGGCTGCCCTCCACCATCATGCGTGACACTTGGTGAGAGATGTTTGTGCTGAAATGCTGTTTGGTTCTCACCACACGTGATGCTGTACATTAATGATAAACATCTCCACTTAGTTCTTTGGACAAACAGGAAGTAAACTGGTTTGTTTAGATCCAACTTTTCAAACCTAAGCTGTGCTGGCATATTCTTGGTTTGGTCACGTTTTCTTCAACAAACTTTGAGTTTCTCTCCCGACTGTTTCCATCCTGCTGTGTCTGAGCCAACTGACTGACATGTTTCATTTCCACGTTCATAAAGCTGCTATTGAACCTCACAGCAGAAGGAATTGGTTTATTTTTATTAACACTTTATTACCAATTTAAGATTCGTTTTGTAGCACCGTTTTTCTCTCCATGCCCAATGGTTTGTCAGAATTGCTCTGAAGCAGATGGGAAGTCTTTTTCGACGGCCTCTCCAAACTCACATGCTGGAATTCTTGTTTCAACCACCACCTGGGCTGCATAATTGGAGGTGAGCTTCCCTCCCTCCAAGACATCTACAGGAAGCGGTGCCTGAGGAAAGCGGGGAGGATCATCAAGGACTCCAGTCACCCCAGCCATAAACTGTTCAGACTACTTCCATCAGGAAGGAGGTTCTGCAGCATCCGGTCCCGTACCAGCAGACTGAGAGACAGCTTCTTCCATCAGGCCATCAGACTGCTGAACACGTCATAGACACCTCAGCTTCACTACTGGAACTTCAACATTATGCACTCCACACTGTATATAAATGCCACTTGTTTTGCACATATTCAACTCTGTATATTTTATATATTTTATTATTATTATTATTTATTTTATTTTTTTTACTATTTAATTTGTAAAAATGTGTATACACACACACACACACACACACACACACACACACACACACACACACACACACACACACACACACACACACACACAGGAAAATATTTAGTATACACATCCAGAAATGCATACACTATTATATATTGTACATATATTTATTAGTTTCAGGTTGGCCATTCTTGTATTTTGCTCGTTTGTGTTGTTGTGTTTGCACATCTCTGTTGCTTGTGCGGCTCGCACACAAGAATTTCACTCGCATGTGCTGTGCCAGTGTGCCTGCACATGTGATGTGACAATAAAAGTGATTTGATTTGATTTGATTTGATTTCGCTTGGCCTGCTGATACGTGTCAGCTGCTTCTGAGAGGCTACCCCTCTGCCAGGGGGTTCCCAGCACACCCCATGTTTAGGTGTGCTAAGCCTGTCCTGCATCCTCCCCTGCCGTGTCCCCCCTTCCTTACCAAAGAGGTGATGTTGTATGTCTCAATAGCAGGGATTGGTCCATCAGTGCTCTTCCTTTAACCGCAATCAGACACACGATGCACCCAACCCTAACACCACCTCCTGCTGGTGGTGGGCCTACAGTGACCATGCAGCTTCTGCAGGCTGCACCTGGCCAGGCCCCATGGGCTAAAGCCAGAGGGCCAGGCACTCTCCATTGCACTCCCTCCCCAGGCCTGGCTCCAGGTAGGACCCCGGTAACCCTTTCCCAAGCAGGGACACAGGTAAGTAAGTAAAGTGTATTTACATACACCAACCTGAAGACAGAAAAGGTCATGAAGTTTTGTTACTCGTGGGAGTCCATTAAATCACTCATTGTCTGCCCCATCACCCAGGACCTATTTGTCTTGGGAGACCCTCGTCAACATAGCCTCTGAGATCACGGGGCACACAAACCCTTCTACCTAAATAAGTCAGCAATTCCCGAAGGAAAAAGTGGCGTTTTACTCACATGGGGTATAGTGGGGGTGGGGTACTGCTGACATCAACTGGGGACATTGTTGGGCAGTGGAAGAAGTATTTTGAGGACCTCTTCAACACCACTAACACGTCTTCTGTAGAGGAGAAACAGTCTGAGGATGAGGAGAACAACTTGCTCATCTGTAGGGACGAGGTCACTAAGGCTGTTAATCTTCCTCTTGTGTTCCCCTTGTTGCATAGATCATGGTAATAGTCCTGGCACTACACAGTGTATACTATATTTCTCTGAGTGTGCTGGGGACCCCGTGCTTGGGGTGGACCAGTTTGGTTGTTTGAAAGCCACAGAGAAAATGCGTCTCAGCTGTTCTGATTCTCCTGACATATATAAGGGATCACTACGGGTTTTCTCTTAGGCAGCGGTTGTCCTTCTCTCCTGGATCGGCTGGAGCTTTCAGTCCAGCTGGGATAACCACATTTACTCAGGGCCTTCTTGATGTTCTTCTGCCTCCCGGGCTGCTGTGTCTGTGGGGATGAAGTTCACTCTGTGTTGTAGCGTCCTGATGACACCCAGTTTGTGCTCCAATGGATGGCAACCTGATCCGTATGCACTGGTTTACGGTACACGTCGACTTTAAATGTCCCCCATTACTGACGGGAATTTCACAGGCTATCCTCCATGGTGAACTTGATGTGTTTGTCCACTGAGATAATGTGATCAGGGGATTTCGGTACATCCTGAGATTTGATTAAAATGTCTTAAGGAGTGGAAAAGTTATTTTGAATTTAATGGCAGGAATATGCCAGACAGAGCCATGTTTACCAACGTAAGCACTTTGGTGTACCTTCGGTTTTAAATGTGCTATATAAGTAAAGTTGTATTGTAACGTGTGTCATCTTCTCTTCTTCAGCAGCTTATAAACATCTGGAAACTGAAGAGCCCAGTTGCTGGACTTTGTTGTAGAATGTGAGAACTTGTAGAATAAAACTTGAGAATGTGTCGTTTTTAATTTACAGTTACAGAAAAAAGTATGAAAGTACTGAGGAAGACTCTTTGAAGGAAACTTACCATGGCTCCCTGTGGTTGTCAGTCCAGCATGACCTCTTGGTCTTCTGCCTTCCGATTGGCTGACCTCCACTTCTCCAGTTCCTTGAACGTCCCCATTGTTCTGAGTACTGGACAGTCAGAGTGCTGTCACACGAGTAATTCTTATGTTGGCAAAGAGAAAGTACCACTTATAATCAATTCTGATCATTAACGAGAAGTTAATGGCCTTGTAAAGTTAAAAGGCACTGTAGACCCTTCAGCACGACCCTTTAAATAAAGCGAGTGTATACATATGTTTGAGTTTTTATGTATAATTTGGACCCTGTTCAAATTAAAGAAAGTCTAAAATAAATTCAAACTTGTGCACCCATTTCCTGTTTTTTAATGTCATTAATAATGTATGCTGTACAATCTTTCCATCCTGGAAAAAAAAACACAAGAAACAAAGAAATCACTAAGTAGATTTTTTTTGTTTGAAGTTTTAAATCAGCAAACAAATTTTACTATCAGACAGATAACCCAGGTAAGTGCAAAAGGCAGTTTTAAAATTTCATTTATTTCATTTATTAATGGGAAAAGCTGCACGTGCCTTGGTATAAAAAAGTGATTGACCCCTGAACTTAATAACTGGTTGAGCCACTGTTGTTACAGCAGCACAGGAACAGAGCAGGAGGGAGGAGACAGCCAGGAGCAACAACAAGAGACAGCATCGACACTTTAGAAAGGTACAGTAAAGAAAATAAGTGACATCAAGAAAAGAAGTAAAATCTTTAACCATTTCAATTATATTAACAATACAAAGGCAGAGTGTAGAGTCTGCAAGAAAAGGATATCATACAGAGCCGGCTCCACATACAGCCTGCACAGCAGCCTGAGAACTGTCCACCCATCAGTGCAATGGGAAGATAAAACAGTTGAGTGTCATATTAATGAAGGTGCCAGTGTGTCTACTGCAACTGCTGCTGCTTCACCTACAGCATCATGCAGTACACCACCACAAGCACCTAAACAACCCAGAGCTCTATGAGGCGCTTTTTGCAGAAGTCTGTGACCCAGCAAGACAGAACTCAAGTCATGAAGAATTGGCAAAAATGACTGCACTTAATTTCCAACCCTTTTCAGTTGTGGATGATAAAGTTTTCAGGAAGTTTATTCATGCACTAAATCTTATTTTATATTGTTGTTGATAATAAATTAATTAAAGCAACAAAACAACCTGAAGTGCCGCTTGGGAGCCGAAAGAGCCGGAAGATCCGGATCTTTTTAGTGAGTTGAGCCGAAAGAGTATGTTCTCTAAAAAGAGCCGGAAATCCCATCACTGCATCACAAAATATTTTTCTCAGAACTGTTTGGGATGTTTTTTGGTAAATCTCAGATGAGCTGTGTGTTCTTTCCGGTTCTTGCTTCAGTAATAACATCCGAAACAAAATAACCGCTCATATCTGCTGTTACTTTTATTGCTAACTTTAATATCTTACATCTGCCACTGACTTACTCTGGCAAAATCTCGTAGATGGCGACATTAAGTCTTTAACACTTCAGCACAACTTTAAATTTGTTTTTACGACCGAGCGCAGACGTCAAGAACGGAAAGACGGTTCTTGAAGGTTCGCCGGTGTTCATATTAAAGGTGCAGTAACGGGACAGCCTGCTAACGGTTCTGCTGCCTGCATTCGTGCATGTGAAACGCATGACACAGCATCAGTCTCCTGCAGGGGCAGGATCCACCCGAACACACCCCGCTGCAGTCTGCAGAGCACTCGCAGCAGGCTTGGTGCTCTCCTAAAGCTGCTCAGTATCTTCTGGAAAATCGCGACACAGCTCAGGTAAGATCGTTCACTGCAGTCATCGTTTGGTTATGGACACTGCGGGATTTTATTTTTCTCATTTTGTTTGTTTGTTCTTCCCTTTTCTTTTTTCTTCGTCTTCATAAATATATAGATATATGTACATCAGTGTGAGTTAAATACTGTGATGTGTGGGAATGTCCAAAAACTAGGCAGTGTGATGTTATTCTCATGTTGTGGTGCAGCGGTGCCAGATCTGACTGCGGTCCTGCGCAGCTCTGGTTTATTTTTAACTGCAGAAACATCATCATCAGCGTCTCTGTAGGCTACACATGCATTCATACATTCTAGCTCATTCATACAATAATTTAAATCTCGATCTGGAAAATGAGTCAGCACATGAATCATTACGATAATCGCAGATTTGCAGTCTGCCAGTAGCTGCATCGCTCCTTTGCTGATCCATCAGTGTTATTACTGCTAAAAGTCGAGCCTGTGACCTTGACAGAGACAGTCTGGAGACATTTTAGTTTTATACAGGGGACAGGTTCACTGATCTTATAGTGGAAACAGTAAAGACTTGATGATTTCTTGATGTACCCTAAATTTACTAATACAGTAATCAGAGAGTTTCAGTTTTGCAGTACTTTGCAGGACCTGCATGTGTCCGTGAGCAGCCAGTAGGTGGATGCACAACACCTCCAACTAGCAGACATGAGGTCAGGATACAAGGCAAACAAAAAGAACATGGAGTCCACAGTGACAGAGGCGAGAACATCTCAGTGCAGCAGCCCGTCCAAGTGCACTGATCCCAACACGGGACAGCATGCACCTGCAGCTGGATCC